GTGAGTGAGTGAGTGAGTGAGTGAGTGAGTGAGTGAGTGAGTGAGTGAGTGAGTGAGTGAGTGAGTGAGTGAGTGAGTGAGTGAGTGAGTGAGTTCCTCGCGAGTCAATTTTTTATACAACAAACAACATTTATTTGAGGTTGTTGGCGCTTTAGTTTTGCCTTTTCGGTAAGCTACAGCAACCATCGAATGACAGATGAGGGACAACCATAAAAAAAAAGGTTACGAAGCCTATATGGGTATGGGACACTCTGTATAGCAATCACGGGAATGATTGTTCGTGGTCGGCACAACTAGGCGAGTCTCCCATACGTATTTTGACTGCTGTGGCTTGTCTTTTACGGTGACTGTTAGCGGCAGCAGCAGGATTGGTCGCATCGCAGTAGGATGTGCCTTGTTCCCAATGTGATGTTATTGGTGTATTAGGTGGGTACCACACAGAACCTGATTGTGGTGACTGTTACAGGCCAAGCCCAAGTACCACTTTAAGTACGGGGTGGACGACCCCAAGCATGGTGATCACCACAGCCAGTGGGAGGAGCGGGACGGAGACAAGGTGAAGGGAGGATACTCGGTTAAGGAGGCAGATGGCACATGGAGGAAGGTGACCTACACGTCGGACAAGGAGAACGGCTTCAACGCCGTGGTGGAGAGGCACGGCAAGGCAGTCCATCCCTATGGCCACCATCACGGCGGCGGTCACTTCGGAGGTCACCATGGAGGTCACCACGGCGGTCACCACGGCCACTTGAAGGCAGACATCATCGTGTCACCCAAGGGCGACACCCATGAGTCTCTCGAGAGCTACCCCGATGGTGCCTACGGCTACATAGGCTGAAGGCGCGGACGTTGGTTGTCGAATGCGGATTTGCGTAGTTATCGTCTCAGTCGATAATGTGAAAGTCTTGTATAGTAAGTTCGGTGCTGCAGATTGTCTGTGATACTTCATTTTTTCAATATTGTGATACCTTAAGCAAATTGATGTATTAAAACACCCCTTCGGGAAAACATGTATCTTTATTAGAATAAAATATTTAACAAAAAACAATAAGAACAATACAATTGCATAAATAGACTAAAACAAAATTATGTAATAGTTGCTAGGTTATTATGTACATGAAGTTAAATAATTTAAATAAGACTGTGGCGGACACGCCTACCGTAAGCGCCACATTACACATCTGATACGCCCTACGCACCCTCTCACATACACACGCACTCGCTTATCACAAGTTTGCATAAGTCTCCTATTGCATGGCTTCGCTACGAAGGTCGAGCAAATGTGTTAAATTCACCCATTACCTGGCAGTTCACAAAACGTTAAAGTTTTTGCACACGGCTGTCAGAAATACTTGGTCGAATTTTAGTTGCGGTTTAAAAGTTTCCAAAGGACTCGAATAGCGCAACACGATTTTCTATCGCGCCCCGTGTCCGGTGGGACAGTTTAATCTCAGTTTGAGCCCTGGGCCCGATCGACGTACTCGTAGGCGCCGTCCGGGTAGCCCCCCATCCCCACCTCAACAAAGCTGCGCTCGCCGTCGGCCGAGGTGCCGTGCCGATAGGCACGGTTACCGCTTCCGCTGCTACCGCTGCTACCGCTACCGCTGCCGCTGCTGCTGCTGCTGCTGCTACGGTCATCCTCGAAGCGCTGGGGACCGCGCTGCGACAGCGCTGCCGCGGATGGCGTCGGTCTGAAGGTCGACGAGAACCTGGGGAAGCCCTCCTCGTCGTCCTCGAAGTCGTCTTCGCTGTGGCGGACCGCGTTGCTGGCCTGTTCGTCGCTCACCCGGGGGAACGACGGTCGGGTCAGGCCGGGGGTCAGCTTGGCGGAGATCGCGGTGGGCTTGGAGGAGCGCGCCGGCGCGCTGGGCTGACTGGAGAAGATGGAGTGGGGGCTGGTGCTGGAATAGGTATGGCCGCCCTCTTGTTGGCTGGAGACGCTGGAGAAGCTGCCGGTCTGGCCGGAGTAGGAGGCCGGGTGGCTGGCCGATTGGCCGGCGGATCTGCTGGAGTCCTTGCCGGAGAGGCTGATGAAGCCGCTCCCGGAGAATGAACTGTGGGGGCTGGAGAGGCTGGAGTACGAGTGCGACGCGCTGGACGAGTCCCCGAGGCTCTGCTGCCGCTGCTTGCTGTAGGCGGGGGTGGACGTGCGGGACGAGCCGCTGGTCGGGAACGCCCCGGACGTCGACGAGCCGAAGGCGCTGGCGGACGGCGTGAAGGGGGCGTCGTCCGAGTGCGCGTCCGAGCTGGAGTAGCCAGAGAAGGGCTTGGAGAAGGACTTGGAGGACGGGGTGGACGCGGCGGCAACGTGCGCGGCCGGTCGCAGGGACGCGGCTTCGGCGCTCAGCTTGAACGGCTCAGGCTTGGCGCCGCCAACCACCCTCCCGGGGAAGTAGTGGGCCGTCGAGGACCTCGGGGAAGAGGCCTGCACCTGGGGGCCGAGGGCGGCAGAGGAGGGCGCCGGGAGCGCGTTCACGGACTGGCTGGAGGGAGCCGTCGCACCCTCGTCCTCGTGGAACTGCGGCTGGACGGCGAGGTAGCGGCTCTTGTACGGCTTGGACACCACGGCCTCCTCCTGCTTGCTGCCCTGGTGCTCGTAGTCGTGGTGCTCCAGGTGATGCAGCTTGCCGGGGGACTCGTGGTGGTGGTGGTGGTGGTGTTGGACCTCCTCCTTGTGCTCGGGGTGCGACGCCTTGCCGCTGCGCGTCACCACGGCGTTGAAGCCGTTGTGCTTGTCGGCCGTGTAGCTGACGGTGCGGTAGGTGCCGTCGGGCTCGAGCAGCGAATACTCTCCCTTGACCACGTCGCCGTCACGCGTCTCCCAGTGCGACTTGTGGTCGCCCGTCTTGTAGTCCTCCACGCCATACTTGTAGTCGTACTTGGGTTTGGTCTGTGAATAGCATGGAAAAAAAAGATCATAATATATTACACGGAGAAGTCCGTTTTTGCAACAACGAAATTTACTTGCCTAATGCAATGTTTCTTCCACGCAGCAAAAACATCCTTTCCGCGAAGTTCACCCAAGTTTACCCAAGTTCGAAATTTTAGAAGCCTTCCGAAGTTGAAGCCTGTTTGTACTCACGTAATAGTCGATGTGCTCCTCGTGCTCCTCGTGGTGCAGCTTGCCGGCGCGCACCCCTGCGAGCAGCACGCCCGCGGTCACCGCCACGCACGCCAGGCGAGCCAACATACACTGCAGCAGAGACAACATTCGTGACGACATTTGACAGACGACGGGTCCGCTGCGTCTGCTATGCGTAGGGCAGATTGAGCGATCAATAAAGAGACGGAAAGGAAGAGTGATTATTGGTAGGGAAAGTAAGGAGGGGGTATTTTCCGCTACTCCGATTGACTAGGCACTGTTGTCTTTCTTTAGCGTGTGAAACTGCCGTGCCATACGGTCCTATGAAGTCCCGCGACAGCCTCGCCGAGGAAGGGAAAGACTCCATTTTGCTTGTCGCGGTTTTGGATCCCCAATTATCGACCAATTATCTATCGTTTGGAACAACGACATCGGTATAAGGCAGGCGGAGAGCAGTCAACTTCGCGTCCTATTTCCTCCATGTGTAATCGACGGAGCACAGACAAAAATTCACTAGTGACATTTCACTTTTTAGACCAATTCATTCACTATGAGAAATTCTTGTAAGCGTTACAGGAAAAAATTTCCATAACGTATGTTGTAAAATTGTAAAATTACAAGCACTATGTATTGACTTGTAATTAATCGGCAAACACACTGGAAATGCAAGTGTGTGAATGTCGCTCACCTGCAGATGAGCGACATTCCATTCGTACACTTAGGGGGCTAAAGGTGTGAATTTTTCCTAGAAAATTCACACGTTTACCCCCCCAAGTGTACGAAT